TAATTTATTTTTAAACCTTTTAATAAAATTTCAAAAAAATTGATATTAATATTAATTCTATTATGTTACATTTATTATATATTAAAATAATAATGTTACATAAAATTATTTCAAACAAGATTATATTTTGTATTTTTTTTATAAATTAATAATAAAATTATATATTTATTTTTCAATTAAATATTATTTAAAAAACGCCAATTGTACCATATTAAACTTTATTTCAATGAAATCAAAAATATTTTATGATTGATTTTTTTTTTATTTTTAATTTATTCATTGTTTTCAATATCAATATTATATATGTGATTGCATCATATGTGATTTATTTTACTTAATTTTATATTATATTATATTTTTATAGTTAATTTATTTATTAAATCCTTATTGTTTTATTAGAAAATTTATTAAAATCTTTATTATCGTATTTCTTCATATTATATAAATTAAAAATTATTAAAAAAAATTATTAAATTAAATATTATTAAATTAAATGTTTATTTGTTATATCGTTATGTGTTTATATGTTTGCGCTATTATTATACATTTAATAATGATAAGAAATAATAATTTAAAATTTCAAAAAACAAGAATTCACATCGAAACAAATATGTTTATATATAATAATACATACATATATATTCGAATAGGTAATACTAAAGCTGTGCCTAATCAAATTTCACTGATATTTTTAGGCCACTAAGGTAATATAACTTGCGTGAAAATAGATCGCATAAATAACTCGTCCAGTATCTTCTTGACTTTGCAAAAAATTTCTTTGTTTTTTACAAATATTTATTTTTTTATGCACATCACATAATTTTCAATTATTCGATATTAATTATATAAAATTGTTATAGAATTTGCAAAATGACATATTTTATGAAAATAAATTATTTAAATATTTAAATAATTCTTTGCATAAATACCACAAATCATTTATATCATTTGCATTAATAATTAAAAATAATTTTAGAAATGCATTTTTATTTATAAATTACATGTTATGATTTTTCAAAATTAGAAAACAAAATATATAATAATATTTTGAATTAAATTTTAAATTTTGATATACAAGAAAGAATAGAAAAAAAAAATTTAATTTTATGCGCGCACTTTTTTTAATTTTCGAAATTTCTCACAATTATAATATTTCTCTTTCTCTTTTTTTTTAAAGTTTCAAAGATAAAATTATAAAAAAAATCAATAGATACATAAAAATATCCGCAAAATAATTTCGTTACAAATCATTCGCGCTCGTCCAAAGTCGATAACAATTGATATGTTACAGCTACGATCGCTCAGTGTGAACTAAACGATAGATTTTCGCAGTCTATTAAATAACGTGAAATCTTGCACTACATAACTTATTCGTCAACTGTTTTTGACACATTAATTAAATACTATAAATACTAATTATATTAAATTTGTTTGATATATATTGGAAATTTTAAATTAATCATATATTTCTTTACATATCATTTTATGATATTAAGTTATAAACACAAAATAAATTATTTATCCATATATGATATGATATAAACTATATTAATGACATAATTGAATAAATTAATTTATAATTTTAATATAGATATATTATACACCAAGATAATTGAATTTTAAAATTTTTTATTCATCACAATTTAATATTTTAATGAAAATTAATTTGAAAAATCAAAACTATCACAAAATTAAACAATTTTAAAATTAATTAGGATTAAAAAAAAATCTATATTAAATAAAAACTATTTACGAAAAAATTAATATGATAAATTTTTATATGAACTTAGAGAGAAAAATACTTTCTTTAAAAAAAATACTTAAGGTTTAAGATAAAATGAAGTGATCATTACTATTGTAAAAGTATCTTCTATTTATATCATTTTATTTCTTATTTAAAATTAATTAGAACATTTTATATTTTATTAGTACAAAATTAATTAAAATATTGATATTTAGTGTTTCTTTTTATTGTCATTCAATGTTATTATAAATAAACTGATAATTCTAAATATAAAAATAATATAATATAATATAATATATTCAAAAATTTCAAATAGAATTTAAAAAAATACGATATATTAATTATTTTATTAAGTTGTAGCAATTTATTGAAATAAAAAACTTTTTAAATTTGTTTAATTTCACCACTACAATGAGGACAACAAGTTATATTTGAATCGTTTCGTGGAAGAAAGATTTGGCCACCAATTGCAACAGCTGCTCCCATTACTGCACTACAAGCTACATCTTGTCTTCCTGACATAAGCAACTTTGGGCTCATAAGAAGCTGTATGAAATGAAAAAAATAAATAAATATAAATAAAACAAAATAAAATAAACATAAATTATTTATACAATGAAAAAATAATAGAGATTTACTTGTTCTGCAGTCTTCTCAGCAAATGTTTTCATATCTAAACCAGTTATATTAATTTCTCTTTGTAAATTAATATTTTCTACACCACTTAATAATTGAACTTTCAAAATTTCTGCAAGTTGGAAACAGCCTTGTGTTAAATCTATTATGTTTGTACTTAATAATTCATGTCTTTTACAAGTAACAGTTGCAACAGGATCAAAATTTTCACGTAAAATGCTAAGTATTCTAAAAAAATATAAAAATATAATATATAAGTATATAATAATTATATATTAATATATTCTATAGAAATATTTATATTAATACAATAAATTATATGTTTTATAAATACAAACCTGTATGTTTTAAGAGATATATCTCGTATAAGATTTCGATCCTCTAAAAGTCTTTTTATTACTTCCTGAAGATCTATAGTTCTTTGACAAAGAGCTGCTTTCCATTTTGCAAGTTCTTCAACCATTAAGCTATGAAAACATTACTAAGAATTAACTAATTACATATAAATTTAAAAATTAAAAAAAGTATTTATGTTAATTTATTTTCATTTACCTACTGGCTAAGAATTTACTTCTCCAGACTTCGCATTGACCAGCTAACCATTCTGTTTGTTCTTGATGAGTTGAAAGATGTTGAGCAGAATTTAAAAGAGCTCGAGCAAGTTGTAATTTATCTTCAGTTAACAAATGAACTTTTGTTTCAAGATCTTCTCCAACAGCAGCTACTAATAAGTTTTTTAATTCTCCATTAACCTATTAAGCAAAAATATATAAGCAAAATTTTATAAAATATTATTTAATACAAAAAAAATAATATTCCAAATAAATTTAAAATAAATATTAAATTTGTGTATATATTTTTATAAATAAAAATTAGTTAAATTTTTAAATAATTAAATCATTTTAGTACTTGTGCTTGAAATTTTAATTGATTTTCTAGTTGACTATTTTCCTCTTTAAGTTTTTGTATTTCTGCTTCGTATACTTCTTTTTCTTTCAACCATTCATTTCCTATACAATTTTCATCCATTATCTTTAATTCATTATATGGCACTTTTGTTTCATGAAGTTTCATAGCAGCAACTTGAGCAACAGTCATATTTACATTTACATTACTTTTTTGTAACTTTTTATTTTTTTTTTCATACGGAATTATTGGATTAACTGCAGCTTTATATGGTTCATAAGGAATAAATTTTGGTTCTTTAAGTTTTAAAGAATTTAAAATATGTTTCTCATCTTTCACATTAATAACATATTTTGGTTTCAAATTTATTATTGGACCATTCGGAGTAACTGGAGGAATTGAACTTAATTGTTTTAAATCTGTTGGATGATAAATTAATGTTTCACCAAGACGACATTTTGTCTGTTTAATTTCAATTTTTCCAGCTGTTACATTTTCCATTCCATCACCTTCTGTACGTTTAATCGAACCCATGACTTGTATATCTTAAACATTAATAAAATTATATTATTAATACAGAATAAAAAAATCTTAAAAATAACAGATATAATATAAATAAATATTTTTATTTCTATTTTAAATTATAATTGTTTTTATATGTTTTTTATTATAATAATTATAAAATAAATAAATAAAATATTTAATTACTTATATAATGTAATATAATATAATATTAATATTTATATTAATATATAATATAATATAAATATTTTATTATTTATATACTTATATAAAATACATAATATTACTATAAAACCAATTCTTATTTTTATATTTAAGTTTAAACATTTAAGTTTAAATATATAAAAAATTGAAATTTGGATACACAAAAATAATAAATGAAAATAAATATAACTATAAAAATAAAAAATATAAATACATTATAAATTTATATAAATAAACGATAAAAAATAATCTAACCTTGTGATTTAATTTGAGTTTCATCTTTAGAATTTGAAATATTGGCCATTTTTTTTTAATTTATATTTATTTAAACAATTTTAATGGTGTTTTCTATAAAAATAATTTTTATAAACAAATTGTAAACTACTTTGTATAAGTATATCAATCATTATCAATCCCCTATTTAATACATACAATTTAATAAAACGAATTCACATGGAATGAATAGTAAAATGCGCATTACCTATATATAAAAGTATAGAAATGAAAATTTTTTATATAAATTATAACACATATTGACATTTATAAACCAAAATTTTTATATTTTTACAGATATTTTATAATTGTACAATGTCTTCGTAAATGTATAATTTAAATAATTTCTTTTGAAAAAAAGTATTCAATAAATTTAAATTGAATAATTAAATTAATTTTAAATTTTTAATTTTTAATAAATTAAAAAAATATTCTATTAATAATCATTGAACTTATATATATTTTCTAATAAAAAATCACGAAAAATAAACGAAAAGTTTTTGTGAAAATTAATATCGATCGATTTCGATAATTCGATTTTTCAAATTTAATTTCAAATTTTTATATGATAAAGTAATTAACCATGAATTTAATACAATAAAAAATATTTAAAAAAAGAATTTAATTAAGTTATTCAATGTAACTTTAATAAAAATAATAATTAAAGTAATGATTATATGCAAAATGCAAAATGTCAATTAAATTTTATTATAAATTTTAATCTTTTTTTCAATTGATATGTTATTAAATCTAAGAAAAGATTCATTATAATTCAGAATTAAATATGGTAAGAATAATAATCATATTTATATCATAATGTAATAATTTAGTTTATAATTAATTAATAATATTTTTAATTGATAAAATAATATATTTTCATAAATTTCAAATTTTAAATTCGAATATAATAACAAAATACATGTATATAAATAAACATGCACATAGAATAATTTAATATAATATATTATATTTCAATTAATAGCTATTTCAAATATAAAAAAGTTATGGATAAAAAAGAATATAAAAAATATAAACGAAGAATTGCTCAAACTGAAGCTAAAATTGATAATAAAGCTCCACCATTTCATGTGGCTTATTATTATGATAAACATAATATGAGAAGTCATTTGACTCGAATACGAGAAATAGATAGAGAAAATATGACAATATTAAGACGAATAAACATAATTGTCAGATTTGGAGTAAGAATAAAATATTTTATATCAAGAATATTTATTCCACTATATTTTTATTTTAATCATTTCACTATTTATTTAATATTATATTTTCTATTTTTATGTTTATTATTGTAACATTTAATTTTTATAACATATTAAAAAAATTATATATTTTATGTTTGATAATATTTCAAATATATATTATTCATAAATAAAACAATTTTTTATTTAAAATATTAATTGCATAAATATAATAATATTATTGTAAATTTATATATATATTAAATTTCATAATATATTCATAATATTCATAATATAACAGTATATATATGAATATATATATTATATAAAAAATGTATGAAAAATATATATTTAGTTATATATATATTATATAAAAAATGTATGAAAAATATATATTTAGTTTTATTGTATGCAAATTATAGGGAAATATTGATTGTTGGTTACCGAAAATAATATATAAGCCAAAATTTTATGAAGAACAAAAAGCAGAAAATAAAAAAATCAAGACACAAAATAAATATATATTACAAAAAATTCAAAATGCAACTAGTAAATATTCTACTGTAAAATTTATACAAAGTTGGAAGGAAATGCAAAAGAAAATGGAAATAAAAAAAAGGCAAACTTTCTTGAACATTTAGTTATATTAATGTATTGTGAAATAATACTTCTTATATGAATTTTATAGATATGAACATAAACCTTTAGTAAAAGTTATTGGATTGCAGTTAATTCCAGATCATTGTATGATTAAAGATTTATCATTACTAAAGGAAATGAATCCGTCTATTCGAACCAAATGTTTTTTTGAAATTGAAATTAAAGGAGATCAAAAATTAGGATGCATTCAATTTGAACTTTATAATGATATTGTACCTCAAACATGTAAAAATTTTGCAGAATTATGTCGTGGATTTAATGGTTTATCATATAAGTATATATTTTAAAAAGATAAATTATCATTCTTGAAATTTTTATCATTAAATCATAAATTTAATTATCATTAAGTTATCATTATCAGATTTAATATAAAATATAATAAATTCGTATTATATCATGATATTAAATCTCTATATAATATATGTGTATTTATATTGACGAAAATAATATTTTTTGTATTAGGAATACACCGTTTCACCGAATTGTTTCTGGTTATTGGTGTCAAGGTGGAGATGTTACAAAATTTAACGGAAGTGGAGGAATTTCCATATATGGTGATTTTTTCGAAAATGAGAATTATAATTTACGTCATGCTGGTCCTGGAATTTTATCTATGTGTAATGAGAATGAGAATAAAAGTAATTCCAAATTTAATCTTACTTTTAAACAGTTAGAGACGGTAAACGAGAAAAATGTAGTTTTTGGAAAAGTTATTGCAGGTCTTTCAAATATTTATAAGGTAATATTTTCAAATCTTTATTTTAATAATTTTATTTTAATAATAATATATTTAATTTTAATAATATGATTGTATAAAAAGTAATGATTTTGAATATATTATTGAATATTAATATAAAATCTAATATTTTTAGATCGAAGAATTTGGAACAAAAACAGGAAAACCATTTAAAACAATAATTGTATCTAATTGTGGTATTATATAAAGAAATAAAAATTATAGATAAAATCAAGTAAAAACATAAAAAATGAAATCAATTATTATTATCATATTAAATCATATATACATTTTTAATTATTAAATCATATATACATATGTATATATAAACATTGAAATATTATATAAACATTTCTTTAATGAATATGTATCACAATATTAAATTTTTAAATTTAACATAGTTTAATTATTTTTTATCACATCAGTTAATTTTTTTAATACATTTAATTATTTATATTAACTTTACTTATAAATTTGCATGACATATATTATATACATGTATATAGTGATTTATATATTATATATTATATATATATATATTATATACATGTATAATGATTTATATATTAAGGAAAAAATATAGGTAAATATTTGATAATAAACTATATTTTATTATATTTTTTGCAACAATCTCTATTTTTAATTAATTATTCATATGCAATTATCATTAACTATTTTATATGTTATATATATATATATTACATATATCCTATATATTCTAATTTATATATTTATAACAATAAGGCACTTAAAAATTAATAAAATAAAAAATCTTCTTATTTCTATAGATATATTAAAATAACTATATATGATTAAAACAAAAAAGATATAAATAATTAAAGTAAAATAATGTTAGCAATGAAGATATATATAATGCAATAGAAATTATTTCATTTTATATCTAATTAACCACAGATCATTATATAATTTATATTTTTAAGCTGGTATTCTTTTAGGATTTAAATCATACATTCGACGCATACGTTTTTTTAATTCTTGTGGAAATTTATCATAGCACTTTTTACATGCCGGTTTTAAATCAAATTCAAAAAACTTAGTTTTTTGATTCATTTTCTGATCACAAAAAGCACATGCAAAATGATGAACGCACCATGCTTTGTTCAAAGCTGTAAAAACTGAAAAATTCGAAATATATTATATATCCTTTTATTATTTAAGTTATATTTATATATCATATTTTCAATATTTTGAATTCGAAAAATTGAAATAAATTTATGATATACTTGCCATCACCAGAAATTACTTGATTACATACAAAACATAAATTGCCAAAAAGTTGATGATAATGTGTTTCACAATAAGCTAAACCTTTCTTCTCATAATGACGATGACCTAAAAATGGCTTTTCACATTTTGCACAAACAAAATGTTCAACATGCCAATGTTTGCCTAAAGCAGTTACTACTCGTTCCTCAATTGGACGTCGACATGCACCACAAATTGGAATTCCCATTTTATCATGACATCTCAAACAGTATAACTCATTCTAAAAATGAATTATTAAATAATTAAAATATGAATTATATATCAATATGTTATAAAAAATATTATTTTAAAATAGTATAATTATAAATATGTACCATTTCATTTGCAGCATATCCTGGTCTAGAATTAACTTCTCTAGCATCTGAATTAAGTTCTATACCACAAGCAGTACAATTAAAATGATAAGGATGATAAAGTTCTCCACGAAAACGAAGAGGTTTGTCATCAATTACACCACTAAAAATTATATATTATAGATATTAAAAAAATATATTTTGCTTGCATAATTTTTAAATTATTCAATTATGTAAATAAAATTAAAATTCATACTGGCATTGATGACAGATATATTTTCCAAGTGCCCCAGCCTTAACACGTGCATTACATGTGTGACACAATGCTCTACCCTGACATTTAATAAATCCTGCATCAGCCAATTCACCATTGCATTCTTCACAACGAAAACATCCTGGATGCCAATTAGCATTCATAGCTTTTATTACACGACCAATAACAAATTCTCCTACATAAATATTAATTCTTTAAATTCAAATTTGCAATATTTTTAGTATAAATAAAAACAATAACTCACCACATTTCTCACAACAAGGTGCAAATAAAACATGAAAATCATGTTCACAATATTTATATCCCTCAAATTCATAAAATATTCCATCTGGGAATGGACGAAAGCATTGTGCACATCTAAATAAAATCTTTTTTTATTATAATTTTTTATAATTATAGGTAATAATTACATTTAAATTTTGTGCATGAATATTAGTATCTTTACTACTTATTATCTACTTAATAATATTTAAAAAATTATATTTAATTTATATTTTCTCTGCTAAAGAAAATATAATAAATTCTAATAAATTCTAAAAAAATAATTCAATTCTTACACAAAACATTGAGGATGCCATAATTCTCCATTTGAATTAACAATCTTCTCATGAGGTACAAAACCTTCTCTACATCGAGAACAAAACATATTATCCAAAGACATCTCTGTAACACTTTATTAAAATTTATATTATTAATAAAAATAATTAGATATAAAAATGATGCATATGAATATAAATTAACATTTATTTAATATAATAATTAATGATTGATCAATATAATAAAATATATATTTTTTGATTTTATAATTGAATATAATTTAAATTTTTATTTAATCTTAATTATAAAGAAAGATTTAATTAAATAATTAATATAAAAAATTAATATTTAATTTATTAAAAATTAACATAAATAAAATTTAATTAATATAAAATCATAAAATATACAATTAAAAATTTTTTAAATATTCTTATTATCAAATTTTTAATATATAATGTAATAAATATTATATTACATTTTTAAAATTGAATGATAATAATTTCATTTTTATCATCATATAAAATATTCCTTTTTTTATAACATGTAAATATATAATTTTATAAATATCGTATATTTATATTAATGTTTATATTTTATTTAAATCATTGTTTCAAATATTTTATCTCAATATATATATAATAACGGACTTAAAATTATATACCTGGAAACTAATATTGCAGATGGTAGATATCCTATAACACTATGTTTCACAAGAGAAATTATTGTGCTTACCCTGGCATTCTTTAATAATAAAGAAGAATTTATTAAAGTATACGATTTTTATTAAATATTATTATTATTATTATTATTATTATTTAAAAAATAACAATATATAATTATTATATATTAAATATTATTTAAAAATATCTAACATTTTTATAAATTAAAATTATTATTATTAATATTAATCGCACTTTTTAAGATAAAATTTTATACAGAAAATATACACAACATTACAAATATGATTCCACATTGACAATATATATATATAATATGCTTAGTTAAATATTTAAAATAAAAATTACGTCATCAAATAATGTATCGTCTTTTCCGTAATAATCATTTAATAGCAGTAACCAATCAGATGTTAGAAATATGGATTTACCTTTTGTGAAATATTGCTTCAAACAACGAAGTAAAACTATATAGATATGAAACTTTAATAAATACTAAATAAAATATTTATTTATACATATAATATATATGCTTGTTAATATTTATTAGTATAATTTAATTAATATAAATTAAATATATAAAAAAATATAAAAAAATTAAATTTTCCAATTTTGTTAAAATTATATTTACAAATATAAAATTTTATTTACAAAAAATTATTGAATTTCTGTTTAATTTTTTAATATTTAATTAATATTGCATATTTTTAAAGAGAATTTTATATATGATATAGAATAGAAATAGAAAATAGAATAATATAAAATAAATTAAAAATTATTTCACAAACTAATTTTTAATAATTTTTAATATCACTATATAGCAATTCATTATAAAAATTATGATAATTTTAAGCGTAATTTTAATTATTGTTGTATTATTGTATAATTATTGCTTATTGTTTAATATAATATTTAAAATTTTTTTTAATAACTATATAATTATATATGAAAAATAATTAAAATAGTTGTATAGTTTTATGTATATTTTTTTACAATTTGAATTTTTTATTTTTTATTTTTTATTTTTTACAATACAAAATAATATTTATTTTTAAATTATATAATAATATTTTTATTTTAAAATATAATAATATTTGTATAATATAATTTTATAGTAATATAATATTTGCATATAATATAATTTTGAATATGTTATTAAATTATATAAATAAAAAAAATAATTTTAAAAATATATTGAAATCACTAAATTTAGTAATATGGCGCTGTTAATCTACTAATCGATCGAAGAGTTTTATCAAAGTTGACACTCTGTAGCTGCTTCTGTACGAATTGTTCTGTGTTCGTGAGAGAACATTTTCTTTCAACTAGTTGTTAACTGTAATTTGAAAAATGGCATGGTTATGTAGTCGTATTGTTTTCCACAAATATCGACGAACATTTTCTTGCAATGCTGTTAAATTCTCAAAAAGAAAAAGTAAAGTGAATATATTATTTAAATAATAAAATAATTATAAAAAAATTATTTAAATTTTTTGCATTTTTTTATTACGTAATATGATAATATAATTTATTGATTTTATATAATTTTTGATTTATATATAAAATAGAGTTTTTTTAAATAAATTTCTATTACAGCTTTTCCTGATCCATTGGAACTTGCTACAGGATTGGAAAAACGTGAATTACTTGCTGCAGCAGCTGGCAATTTTGTAAGTTTATATTTAAAAATTTTTAAATAAATGTCAAATTTTAAAGTTCTATTTTTTTAAATGCTTTTACTATTATAATATAAAATAACGAATCATATTTAAATCTAATAATATATTTTATTAAGTAAATTTATTTAAATAAGATAATATCAAAAATGTGATTTGTAAATTATAACCTTTTTTTGTGTAATATCATGATTTTTAAATTTAAATAGAATTTCATTTTTAAATTAATCTAGAAATTTGATTAAAATTAGTAAGGAAATTAATTATATATATATATATATATATAATTAATTTTAATCAAATTTCTAGATTATATATATTGATATAAATTCTTATTTTATTATTATCATACATATTTATATGATAAAATTGCAAAATAAATAATATATTAATTTTTTCAAAAAATGAAAGTAAATATATAATGTTTTTAATTTATAATTTGATTTTTTTTTATAGATTATAATTTTTTTTTTTAATTTTAATTAATTATTATTATTTTATTTTAGGATCCATATCACATGAAAGCTATAGAAATATCACGTGATAGCACAAAAGATTGCCCAAATTTAGTACCAAGTGCATTCAAAAGTCGCATTGTTGGTTGCATTTGTGAACCAGATACTTCACATGTAAATTGGATGTGGTTACATGATGGCCAGCCACGTCGATGTGAATGTGGACATTGGTTTAAACTTACTCAAGTTGCACCACTTTAATTTAATGTCATTTCTTGTTAATTAGTCATTTGTTTAAAACATAGAATTAATGTTGTATAAAATATTAAAGATCGTTTTTATTTATTACCTTCTTATATCCTTTCTTAATATTTCATATATATCTTTTAATTTAATTTAAAATAAATTATTGAAATCATTAGTTTTTGTGTTATATTTATTATCTAATTTATTTCTAAATATTTATTTTAAAAATTTGAAGATAAAAAAATTTTTTTTATGATATGAATTTATAAAAAGAATGTAATATTAAAGTTTATTTTATAATTAAATGATATGAACTTTTATATAGTAATTAAGTATGTATATTTCCAATTAAATTATTTTAATAAATATTATTAAAACCCTATTTATAATTATATTTTTTTTATATTTTTTATTTTAATTTTAATTAATATTCAACAAAATCATGATTAATTAATTTAAAAAAAATTATATTTATCTAGTAATATATACTGAAACAAAATATAAATAATACAAATAAGCAAACATATATAAAGCATATAACCAATAAAAATATAAAAATATGAAATAGGAAAATTAAAAAAATTGATTAATACATAAATCTATAATTATATATAAATAAATATATAAATATTTATTATATAAATTATTTATTTTAATATAATAAAAAATATATTGAAAATATATTTTAATAATAATATATATAAATATTAATACATTTTACAACAAAAACAAAATTTATTTTATTTATTTAATATTTGTAAGTATAAATTAATTTTAATTGATTGTGAAATATTGTAAATATTATATACATAATATTATATTTTATTATTTGTTTTATATTTTAAAAATGATAAATCTTAGTATTATATTTATAAATTTATTACAGTCTCTCTCTCTCTTTTACTTTTAAAATATTTTAAAATTTACATAAATTTCTATCAGAATATATTTATTAATCTTAACAAAATCATGATCATAAATAAGCAAATCATTTTTACCATTTACATTATAATTATGCTAATCAATTTATTAATCTTTAAATCTGACATTAAATAATATTGAAAGTTCCTAAAAATTTGTTTAAACGCAATATACATTTTGGTATTCTCTTTGAAAAGCAGTGCTTCTTGTATTTGTTAAAATATCAGTTCTTGGTCTGCGGAAGAGTAGCACATGTGGTTCTGAAAAATTACATAAATTTACAAGAATTAATATATGTAAATTATTTATTATATTGTAATTATATTCAATGTAAATATTCAATTTTAAAAATAAATATTTTCAATTTAAAATATATGTTATTATTATATATAAAATTTTAATGTTATTATATAAAATATAAAATATAAATTTATCTGAATTGCTTAAAAAAACAAATGAAATTGCATGAAAAATGTAAGTTATACATTTACAAAGATTTTTTGACAAAATCAAGTTTATTTCTAATATGAATTTTAATAAATTATATAAACAAATTTTTTGAACATTTTATTTTATAAATTTATTTAATTATAATTTATACCTGGTACATGCATCATATAATGTACCCAACCTGGACTTTGTTGAACTCCTAAATTTCTCCATTCTGTTTCTGACATAAGATGAGTTTTTGGAACATGTCTTGCTAAATCAGCTGGTAGAATAACATGTCTGTAAACAAATAATTGCTTATTATAAACTTATATTTATTGTAATTATATAAATTTTTAGTTTTAGTTATAAATAATAAATAATTTATTTTTTTATTATATATTTTTTATAAAATATTTATGAATTGCACATATTCAAGTAATAAAAAAAATAATAATAATAAAAATGTAATATAAAATAATATTTTTAATATATTGAAATATATAATGAAATATATAATATAAGATTATATATATATAAGATATAAGAATAAAAATTTATATATATATATATATAAATTTATTTATATATATATTTATATATACATATAGATTCTTTAATTTTCAATAAAGGTATTAGAGATATTCTGTATTTTAATTTATATTTTATATTTAATTTTTTAACGAACAAACTAGACTTTTGTACGAACCTATATTCATATTTATCGTCGTTGTATTTTTCAGAATATTGTATTTGATCAGCTGGCATATTATATTTGAATGATTATATCTGAATAAAAATTATAAATTTATAAAAAATATAGTTCTTTTTTTTTATAAGATTAGTTTTCATAAAAATTATATAAGTACATATAAAAATAAATTTCACCTTATTATATATGATTTTAAATAAATTTTAACACTAGACAAGTTTGGTATTGGTACTAATTTTTTTTCAAAAGCCATAACAGGTTGCACAGGTATATGCATGTTTTAAAAACTAATGCGCCCTCTCTTGTAATTCCATTTAATTCATATTAAATTTAAAAAAAAAAACATTAAAAATTCAGGAAATATAATTTAAAAGAAATCTATTAAAATTCTAAAATATTTTGAAATATTTTAAATTTAATAAATCGATAAGATTCTGATCTTTGTTAATAAAAAATGCAAGATTTATGTCCACTTTGTTTAAAAAATGGCATTAAAAAGAAAATAAAATTATTACAAATTAATTTACAAGAAGCTGTATGGATGTGTGAAGAAGAAAAGGTAAATTTATTATTCTAATTTACGAAAATATGAATATAATATTTTTTTTTTATTTATTATTGATAATATTTCAGTATTTAATAACATAACCTTATATATATATATATATCACTAAAAAGAATTTGAAAAAACAAATAAAATTTAAATAAAATTTAATAAAATATAAATTTTGTTTTATTCTCATTTTGTATTACATAATTAATTTATTTTATATTTTAGTGTATATGGCCTCTTGGATATGAAGATTTTGTATTTTGTCCAAGAGCAGTGGGAAAAATCTGGTCTTGTTATTGGGATGACTATAAACCAACAATAACAAAATTAAAAGAAAATATAACATCAACAAAATCATTATTATGTAATACACTTGTATCACCAATGAAACAAACGCCAAAAGAAATGATTGATGATTTAAATATGTATTACATAGAAAATATTAATATTATAAATAATGATTCAAATATAATAAATTCAAAAACTATTTTTGATCAATCTACTTCTGTTGTTGAAGAATCAAATATGATAGGAAATATTGATATTAAAGAACAATATAATGATAATAATAAAATTATTTTAAATAAAGAAATTAATAATATAAATATACATAATAAAAATTTTCAATTAATTGACAATAATACAGAAAATATAAAAATTAAAAATGAATTAATGAATACATTGAATAAAAATATTAAAGAAGAAAATATTACTTCAATAGAAAATATTAAAAATGTAAATAGAAGAACTCCAAAAATAACAAATGTTGAAAAAACAAATATTGATATTTCTAGTATTAATGTAGGAAATCAAATTTCTGTCTATCAGGATTCAAATAAAAAAATTTTAAATATTGAATCTAAAAATATTGCAGAAACTAAATTAATATCAAAGATTGAAACATTACCAAATTTAGAATCAAATAAAAATAGTGAAAATGTATTAAAATCTAATTTAAATGTCACTAAAATGGAAATAGATGGTTTACCACCTATAACATTATCTTTTGAAATTCCATTATGTACTACAACTACTGAAACAGTCAAAAATATAATACAACAGACTGATTATAAAAGTAATAATACAAAATCAAATTCTTTAGAAGTAAAAAATACATTTGTAAAAAGAAATATAACTAGTGGTAAACAATATGAAAAATTCAGTTTTAGTGCTATTAAGAAAAATAAAGAATCAAATAATTCTAATATTGTTAATAATATTAATAATATTAACAATAGTTCTTTAAATATGAAATCAAACCCAACAGTTAAAACAGAAAATTATTTAACAGAAACAGACATAAATGCTGCTTCTATATCAAATCAATTTAATAATTCTATAACTTCATTCAATCAAGAAAGTATAACATCCGATATTTTAGCTACAAATACTAATATAAATATAGATACTGTTTTAGAAGATTATTTAACTAATGATTATAATGTTTCTGAAGATATAAATGATGAGTGGATAAATTCTTTGTTGAGCTAACATTTATAATATATATACTTATTATAAAAATTCAAATTTATGATTATATATATAAGTTACATGATATTATTAAATTATTTTATACAAAATATATTTCATAAATATTTCATATTTCATATTTAAATTAATTGTATTTGTAATTACAAATAAAATTTTAAAAGAATTTCAGTATTTTTATTTATATAAAAATATTTTTAAATGTTTAATTATGTAATATTTAATTATTATTAAAATTTGATTTTTAATATTATGATTGTTTTATTATAAAACAACATAATTTAATTATATATTACGAATTTATAATTTCACATTAATAATGTGATAAATACGACATATTTAAAAGATATAATGCAGCTTTATCAATATATATATATATATATATATATATATATATATGTATGTATGTATATGTATATGTATAATATATTAAAATTCATATAATATTACAAATATTGTTTTATGATTAATTGTATATACATTTTAGAAGCATCTAATATTATTTAATTTAAATAATTTGCAAATTTAGTATAAAAATAATTTTATTTCTATATAATCCTAAAATAAAGAAAAATATCTATAATTTTTACTTCTTATCCATTTAAAAAATTATATATAATTGTTTTGTTATAGAATTATTCATAATGTGTTATGTTTTCACATCATTTATTTTAAAAAAGGAAAAAAAAGGAAAATAAAATATGAACTTTATATATATTTTGATATAAATAACATATACTCATTTTATAGTTGTTTTATGTGTATCACGTATATTACAATATAATACAATTTATGCATAAATTGTTACGACAATATATTTAGTGGAAATTGTCTTTTAAATATAATCAGTATTATTAAGATGATTATTTTGAGATATTATAATTGTACATAATAAACAAAAATGGTTTCATGTATTTTATCCAATTATATCTAACGAATATAACATTTAAATATAAATATTTTTAAAATTATCAAAGTAATCATTACATGTGCATTTAATATTCTTTTGAAAAATATATACATATTTCCTTATTTATGAACTGACAATGAATTTATTTCTGTAACTAATTATTTTTGTGATATTCTTAAAACTGACAAACATTTAAACTTTAAACAGTTTTATGATACTTAAAATGTATGTCTTAAAAAAAGCAAATCTATTATACAATATAATATATTTTTTAAAAAACTCCAATATTCTTTTGCAACATGAAATAAGAGCAAACTGAAAATGAAAGTAAAATATGCAGAAAATTATTGCAAAAAATATATTTATATTGTACAATTACAATAAATTGCAAAACAAAATAGTTATTTACCTATCAATAAAAAGGCGCTTATATTTTGCATTCAGCTCTTTTCTTTATCTTTTAAAACTTTTATTTTTCGACCTAACAGATCATATTTAGAATGATTTGGTTCTGGATCTTGATCTGTATCTGAACTACATTCGCTGTCACTAGAATCTTCATAGGAACCAAGACCAGGTAAAATTCCAATACACTTCATACCTCCTGTTTCATTTGTTATATTTTTGTCTTCTGAAATATCTTTGAATGCGGATTCACATTCAGTAATTATCTGTTCATTTATTTCACAGTCTTCTTTTTTTGATGTATCTTTATTTTCTTCAGATAATTTTCTTTTAACACCTCGCGTAACATCTATATAAATATAATATTAAACTAGTATTGAGATTTGAAAAATATTAAATTATATTTGTAATCTTTTACATATTAAATATATAATTTTATTTTTTTCATAATAATAAATATTATTTTTTATCTAATAGTTAATTTTAATATATTAAAAAATTTAATATATTAAAAATTTCTATTTACCTTGTTTTTGTTGTTTCTCAGGACGTTTAACTACTACTCCAGCTAATAATTTTAATTGGGAAGTACGGCTTTAAAAAAACAAAATTTATTTTTTAATATTATAAAATATATATTATTTTTATATTATTCATAATAACAGAAATAATAAAAAATTCGAAATTAAATAATTATTATTTATTATATAAAATATATTATGTAATTTATTTTATAATATCTAAAATATAATGAAGAAATAAATTATTGAATTAATGAATACATTAAATAATACATTAATATATTACCTTCCAGATGAAATATTTTTATTCATAATTTGAGGATTTTTTAATTCTTGTTTTAATTTTTCATTTAAAGATTTTTCTTGTAATGAAGCAACAGCAGCTTTGAAATCTCGCATTTCTTTTTCTTCTTCAAGATTTTTTTTACGTTCTTCTTCTAATTTTGTTCTATCTACCAAATCTAAAAATTCTACTTCATCATCATCTAAACCTTTTATCATATTTTCTAAAATAAAATAATAATTTTATAATATAAAAGAAATTTTTAGATATTATGTTCTCTATAACTTTTAACTCACTTAATTTATGTGCCTCTTCATATTCTGCATCTCTTTTATTTTTTTGTTCTTGTAATCGTTCATATAATGATCTTGGATCATATGGTTCCTCTGGAGCTTCTACAAAAATTAAAAAAATATAGATGATGATAACACAATAACTTATAATTTAAAATATATATAATATATATATAATATATATATATAAATATATAATTCTAAAAAAATTATTTTAATTTATTAAATAAATTTTAATTTGATTAAATTATATTTTAAATTATCTATTAATGAAACTATGATAAAAACTATGTGTATAACAATTAATTTTAAAATATGTTATATAGCTTTTCACTAAATAAATATACTTTCAAATTAAATTATTAGAATATAATATAATATAGATAAAAATAACCTAATGGTTGATCTGCAGTTCGTACACGTTCCCATTCTTCTTGCCTTATTCTACGTTGTTCTGCAATCTCAGCTTCTGATATAAATCCTGAACTCATTTTGAACTAAAAAAAAATTAAAAAACATAAAATTCAAATCTTTTATAAAATAGTGCTTACAAATAACTTCAATTATTTATTTATTATAATTAAAAATTGATTAAATAATATATATAAATTCATTGATGTTAATAATTATCTTGCAAATTCAGCAGATTCAAATCACATAAGAAAATATTATTTAATTTTTAAATTCTATATTTAATTATATATTAATAATTAATAATTAATATATAATTATATAATTATCTCTTGTTTAATTATAAATTATAACTATTTTTAAAACAAAATATGCAATAATATTATAATATTTATGGATACTATAATAATATAGTTAGATAGATTAGATAGATAATTAGATAGATAACATATATATTTCTATTGAAATATTTATAACTTACCACTTTTATTTATAATAAATTCTGATAAATTATATGAATACTTAATAGCGCAGAAGATATTTATTTTTAATATTTGTGAAGTTTTTACTTTTATAAACATTCAACATTTATATATTTAATTTTTCACTTCTCAGTATAATTTAAAAATTAAAATTGTTAAAAAATTTTATCAGTTTTTAAAATAGTTATATCTAGTACGTTAAATTGAGTTTCAAAACATTAAATTGGATAATTTAACGTATTATTTGTCTAGGAATATTTGACATTCTAAATTTTAAATACGAAGCTTCCTTTTTTTAAATTTGTTAAATAATAATTTTTTATAAAATGTTTTTTATTTTAGTAAAATATTCTTAATATAAGTTAAATTTAATAATGCTAATAAATCAGTATTCTTAGATAAATATTTAGTGCTTTCCGAAGGATGCAGAGGTTAAGTCTTAGATTTTAACTTGAATGATTATAATTATGGATGATTATATATATTGAATATTTTATTGTAAATAGATCATTTTTTCTACACAATCAAAATTAGATTAAATAATTATTTTTATTATTCTATATTAATCTATATCACAAAAATGATATTTGATACCACGAAAATTAACTGCTTATACTTGGTTACTTAGAACTTTATACGCATGCGTGAAATACTAGATAAGTATAATATACAATATATGCACATTTACATATATATATAAGATATAACTATATATAATTATATATAATTCTCTGTAAAACAATTTTTAAGTTTCAGTATTTATTTTTTATATTCTGATGTCACTTCAATTTGAAATTAGAAAAAAATAAATTATGTAATAATTATATCTAAATTACAAAATGTTGAACTTTCATTTTATTTAATTATAATTATAAAATTTAAAATAGCAAAATTATTTTAAAGTTTTATTTTGAGTTTTACTCGCAAATTAAACAATTACTATAAATTTCACTAATACAGGATGAAAAAATAACAATCTTTGAAAAAATTATTTCAAATATTTTTATTTTTTAAACAAATTATACATATGTTTCTGGAAATTCAAATGTTACATCTCGACCTGTTAATTTCTTATACACAGCTGCAAATGTGTCAACCTAATAAATAAAATACTTAAAATAAGTACTATATTATTTTATATAATTCTATAATACTTTATATAATTATCAATAAAAATAAATAAATAAATAAATATAAATAAAAAAATATTGATTTGTGTTTATCAATCTATTATATAACTATTGCATATATAAAAATTATTGCATATATAAAGTAATCAAATAAAATAAAATAAAATAAAATAAAATAAAATAAAATAAAATAAAATAAAAAAATAAAATAAATTTATAAAATAAATCATATTAAAAATTTATTTACCTTATGTTCTATGTTTGTTTGTTCATTTTTATCTAAATGAACTTTAATAAGCTGTGTACCATCAAGTTTAATTCTTATGCGTTTTCCAACAATTTCTACAGGATATACTAAATCTTCCAATAATGCATCATATACTGCTGTTAAGGTACGACTAAAAGAAAAATTTATTATATTTATTATCAATTTATACAATAATATAAATAATATAAATAATTAATAAATATATTTTATTAATATTTTAGATAATAATGATACCTTCTTGGCCTTTTTTGTTTGTTTTTAGTACGTGTTTTCCTTGTTGGTTTAGGTAAAATTTTACGTTCTCCAACAAACATAACATGTTTTCCAGAAAATTTTTTCTCTAATTCACGTACAAGTCTAGTTTGAATTTTTTGAAATGCCTTTAACTTTGGCATGGGTACATATATAATAATGCACTAGAATAGATATCAAATTATTTTATTTATATTTATATATATTTATTTTAAAATTTTAATATAAAAAGATAAAGATTATTCATATTAAAATTATATTTAGAAAATATTATTCTAAAATTAAAATATTTTATCATTCATAATAATGATAAAATTAAATCTATATTTTAAGTTAAATATTTTAAGTTAAAATATTTAGTAAAAATTATGTTATATATAGTGATTAAAAATTTATGATATAAAATAAGATATCCTTTACCTTTTTATTATTAGTTTCTATTTCACGTGCTTTAGTAATATAAAGTTCCCGTAATTGCGATTTTAAATCGCTATTCATTTCCAATTCCAGCAAAGCTTGAGAAATGCTGGCTTCGAACGCATCAGGTTCGGCTCCACCACTTTTTATGATTTTAGCATTTGCTGGAAACATCTTTAAAAATATTTAAAGGTTAACATCTATTCTTGTTTATAAATAAATACTTTATAAGTTTAGATAGTTTATGTATTCAATAGAAATTTTAATTAGATAACAAGTTTCATTTGAAATTGATTACTTAAGTAAAAACTTTAGAATTTCAAATAAAATATATACTGTCAAATATTGTTAAAGTATGTGTCAAATAAAATCCACTTTTATCACATTTTATATGTATAATCCAAAAAAAAATATTAATTCATCTAATAAATTGCAATGTTATAAATAACATGCAAAGTATCATTTAATATTTTCTAATTCATTTTAACTTTGTTTTTAGTTAAAAACTAAACTGTTATTCGCGTGTACCTTGACGATATCAGCACCGCATGAAAAAGATCCAATATGTCCATAGATAGAAGTACCAACCATTCTCCAAATTTACAAAATATTTCTATATCTCTCTATATTTTTAGTTAATTTAATAAATTCTTGATTAAATATATAAATCAATTTAATAATTTAAGTTGATTAATTTTTAAGTAACATTATATTTTAATTAAATCATAATATTTTTATTATATATATATATCATAAAGATTTATTTTTCATAAAAAATATTTGTATCTTATGAAATCAAGTTATCTCAAAAAATAAATATGTATTTTTGATATAATTATTTAATATACATATATTTTAAACTTTTTAAATAATTATTAACTTTTTAAATAAAATTTCTTAATAAATTATAGTTTTATATAAATATACTTTTATATTACATTTTAATTTATATGTAGTTTTTTATAATTAATAAATCTTTTTTCTTAAATAATATTTAAAATTTATTTTCATTTTATATTTATCAATTTTTTTAATGAATTTTATTTTACAATTTTTCTTATGTTTGTAAACTTGTAATATTAATTTGTATCTTACTTCAAAGTAATATAAGTTTAGATATCACATGTTATGCATTAAATGTATAGTTTTTATATGTGATCTATTTATTGAGGTTAAAAGAAAGAAGTTTAAAAATATAAGTATTTATAAATTATATATTGTAATTAAAAATATGGTAGATATAGAACATTCAGGAAAAGAAGAACACAGACAATCCTTCACTATTTTTGGAGAACCAGTAATCAAAACAAAATGTCAAAGAAATGCTTTCATAACTGCTATTACTGGTGGCATAATTTGTGGATTAATATCATTTTTAATAACAAGTAATTCAAGAAAATCTACACGAATAGGAATGGCTTCTTACGGTGCAATAGGAATTAGCTATGCAATATATTGTGCAGTTGATGAAATTAATACAAGAAATGAATTAAAAAAACTCAGGCATCTTATGTATAAAACATCTAATTCGGATAATACTAACAATAAAAAATTAGTTGATGTATGAAATATATTTAAAAATGCTTGAAATTTTTATAAAATCTGTAAATAATAGTTATAATGTAGTTATGATAATAAAAAGATACAATAATATTTTTTTTATCAAAAATATAAATACAATAGTAAATATCAAATATTTAAAATGAATTATAAGTAAACAATAATAAAATATATGTAATTCACATTTTTGTTTTATTCATATTAATATTAATATAATTATTTTTTATATACTTTATACACCTATATATTACTTAAATATTTTGACAATAAAATTAAATTTAAATAATAAAATGTTATTTATATATTATATTTAAGTAATAAGATATTTTATTATTTTTATATAATAAGAAAATAAAAATATTTATATTTCTCATAAAAAATAATATTTATCATTAATTTCATTATCATTCATTTTATCATTAATTAATTAATTAAATATATTAATGTTAATTTTTTAGAAAATATAAAAATATATAAATTTGTATGAAAATAAAGAAAATAATAAAATTTTTATTTTTTTATCTTTTATATTTTCATTTATTTGTTTAATTCAAATATAAAAGTAAATATTATTTACCTAAAAATATGAAATAATTATTAAATAATTCTATACAATAATTAATACATATCTTGAAATATATATATTAAAAATATATAATTTTTTTACAGTGAGTTTTAACAATTTAATTAAATTTGTTAAAAAATTTGTTCTTTAAAATTGATATTTCATTAATGTACAATAGAGGGTGCTGAAAGAAACATAATATTAAGCAAGATTCTGTCTGCTACATGCTCATTGGTGTTTGCCGCTTGGTGGGGCGTGTATGACATCACGACGCATGTTTCATACTATCGAATATGCCGAGTGACAGGTGGTGTAGTAGTTCTGTTACATACTGTGTATCGAGGATACAAGTCGTATCCTCGCGTCACGCGATCGGCACGTTGTCATTCGTAGGTGTCAGTGTTAAGTTTTGTGATGCATACCACGATTTCACGCAATCTACTTGAGAGATTCTACTCTATAAGAAGAGGTGATTTTATTATTTCAAGTCATATCTAAAATTTGGTTTTTTAGAATATCACGTTATTTTTATAGCATGATCAACAAAATTTTGTGGAGATACAAGGAAATCTCCATTATGTGTTCTCTACTCTAAGTTTTAAATATACGTCAATGGAAAATCCTTCATAGAGAAATACTTATTCAATAATATTTATATACGAATATAAAACAGTGGTTTTCAAGTCGATTTTTTTTTATCTATTTTCTGTATTTCTTATTTAAATTTGAGTAATTAATATAATTATAAAGTTTTAATATAATGATTTAATTATGAATTGATGTTATATTTTGTGAAAAAAATTTGATCTTGATATTTACATATGCATATAGAGTAAGCTGACCGGAATTGCTTAGGATATTTTAACCT